CACAAGCAGTATCGTTAGTGTGATCCTGTGATCCAACGTCTTTCTAACATCACTAGTCAACATTACCATGCAAACATGAATATAAAAGGAAAATTTTTAGTAATAAAAGGAACATTTTTAAAAAAGGAACATTTTTAATTATAAAAGGAACATTTTTAATAATAAAAGAAACATTTTTAATTATCAAAGGAAAATTTTTAATTATAAAAGGAACATTTTTAATAATAATTAGGAACATTTTTCAATAAAATTATAAATGTTCCTTTTCGGAGTTACCGTTGTTTTGTATTTTACATATAATCATGACGATGCGGCTGCTCTGTAGTGCAGGCTATTCAATCTGTGGGTATTTTCATTCAAAATGTATAATATCTTGACCATGAAATGCATACAAAAACTTCAGCGGTGGTCATTTTGATGACACCCATAACGCCCATATAAACACCCAAACGCCTGCACATAAACCACATGCATTATCAATGAACTAATTATTTATCCGCGCTTTTCAAAAGCAAATCTTTGTTTTCACCAATCATTATCAGACTGCATTGTTACTCACTGTTGGATGTTGTGCCCACTGCATCATCCTGTAATACCGACCTGAAATGACTTTTTCCGGTCAATATGCTTATAAATACAAGACTCCTAAATCAACTGTTTATGTGAAGATCAGAGAGCACAGGGTGAGGACTTCGTACAAAAAAGTAAGTCAAAGTTATTGCTCAAACATGCATGTTATATAGACAAATATATAAGTATAGACCTATTGTATAGTAAGAATTTACATCGTGAAGAAATCATCCATGTTTGTTTCTAAAGTACCTTTCTAAACATTACCTAAGCTTTTTTATGGTATACTCAGTTTTTGCGATAATGTACTGCAATTTAATAGGTTTGTCTACTTTCTTGAGTCGAAAGACGGAATTTTCTATTCGGCACCAGGCGACAGCCCAACCCGGCTTGATACATGTTAAGAAGCTTTGTTAATTTTTCATTATGGGGTTTATGTTTTTTTTCACAGAAAGATGTTTAACCGCTTTGTTTTAACAACCACTCTAATTCTAGCAGGTAAATTGTCAATCAATTTATACAAGTCCGGCATAGTTCATCTGCAGTGTTCCCAGAAAGAACTCTTCTGCATTACAATAAGTTTATATAGTGTCAGCCCCCTTCATGTGCTGATTCAAATATATCTTTAACATTAGATTCGATGCACTTGATTGACTTGCAACGTGCCTGACCTTCGTCACAATATTATAGTGGTAGCCGTAACAACATTTTGACTTTTATTGTTTAGGGTTGATCGCTGTGACGACAGCACAACAGCGATCGTGTCAAAATGATGGAGTGATCGTGGGCCAGGATCGTCATCCAAAATGCCAATGCAGCCCCGGCTTCAAGGGATATGACTGCAGTCTGAGAGGCAAGAGGCTTAAGATACGAGAGTTTAATGATGTTTGAGTATTGAGTTGCCACAGCTTAAATACACAATGGCGTGCTGGCAGGGCCGGAGGGCAGGTATCCCCCCTCCCCCCATTGAAACGAAACCAACATTGTCAATTCCACTTAAACAATGGGCGAATCAGTAAAGAAAAATCCCTTCCCCCGTCGACCAACAACGATGGGCGGATGTAAGCCTTATACTTAGCTTTTGCCGAAAAATGGGTGAATATATTGAGGAACTTTTTCATCTTGTCTCTAGTGACTCCTTGTGAAGCAAGTCCTTGTAGAAATGAAGGATCGTGTTCAGAAAACAGAGATGGAACATTTACATGTAATTGTACAGCTTTATACAATGGCATCTTGTGTGAACATCGTGGTAAGTAAGAGGTTTAAATTTTTATACGACGAAGCTTACACCCTAATAGAATATTTTTCTTCCAGTTCGACCATGTGACAGTGGACCCTGCAAAAATGGAGGAAATTGTACTGATGATGGAATAAATTGTTTCCAATGTGAATGTCCCCCTGGTTTCAAGGGATCTGACTGTTCTGAAATTGGTAAGATCGATACAAGATTAGTATTGAGGATGGGGGATATACCAGAATACTAATATGCTCGGTTATAGTTTTGGGATATCAAAAACTCTAATGCTAAAAACTGTAACCCTCGGTTTTAAAGAACCACTACAGTTTTAAAAGACCATGATTGCTATAGGAAGTTTTATTGGTGATCATTAATTAAAACTGTCGTTAATGTTTACACATTCATCGAAACACAGTACTTTTTCGGGATGTGTAAAAGAACAAATAATGCATGTATAATTTATCTCAATAAGTATTGCGATTGCCCGGTATTCATCGGCCAAGAGTCAATGCCGACGATACTGAAAGGTCATCAATGCATGCTATATTATATGGTATAATGCTGTATAGTATAATTCATAATGTCATATTGAGATAGCTACGCCTGAGCCAGTGCGCTCTTGTTTTGAATATTAATTAGGAATGATGTTTTTTTATTTAGTTCAACCATGTGAAATTAAACCCTGCAAGAACAATGGTGTTTGTGTTAATAAAAAAGGAGGAAAATTTACATGCAAGTGTAAAGAGGGATTTGGAGGAACATTTTGTGATAGAAGAGGTAGGTCTGTTCCAGCAGGTCAATGTGTTCTTTAAATAACTATAGCAATTGCACTGAATATTCCGTCCAGTCTTTATCCAATGATCGGGATGCCCCATTATCGTTTCTTCAAAAATCACTTATTATTACACTTTATTATATGGCAAGCACTTCCGGTGAAATGGCAAACTGTGATTGGCTGAGAAGCACTTTCAGCGATCCATTATTTTCCCGTATTCTCCGGCGGTCCATTACGTAAAAACAAACGCAAAAAAAACAGGAAAACTAATTGAAAATTTGAAAATTATTATTTAATTTGTTATTAATAAGATATCGGCGAATGGTTTTTAGTGAAAAAGAAGGAATACTGATTAGTATTTTTTGTTTTCTTCGACCAAATGTGTACCATGCTACTATTAAATATGCATTTCAAATCATAAGAATTTAGTATTGCAGTTTGAGTGCACACGAAACAACTAGAATTTAAGGTTGACATGATCCTACTGCATGTATAAGTTATAGCCAATAAGTTACATTCACGAAAATTCGATAATGGTCTATTCCTAAATAACAATATAATTACCCTGAAATGCCATCAGAAGATGATCATAAGTATGTTTAAGGTGATTTAGTGTTTTGTATTCAAATTATTTTTTCTGATGTAAGCTTGAGGGCGATTGATATTATTTGTCACATTATTTATGATATGCATTATTTGTCACAATATTTATTTGTCACAATATAATTATTTGACATTATTTGTCACAATTTGTCACAATAATGATATGCATTATTTGTCACAGATGGTCTGTATGGCTCAGAAATTTTGAATCAGCAGCAAAACTACATTGTTCAGTTGGAGAAATGGATTGGTGGCGCAAAGTCGTGGAAGTTATGTTACCGTGCTACGGATAATGGTTGGGCATCATCTACCTTCCATTCTCGGTGTGATTCTAAGAAACCGACTGTCACCATCATCCGTTCTGGATCCTACATCTTTGGCGCATACAGCGATGTAGCTTTTGGGGGTTAGTTTATAATTGAATTTTTTGTTTATTTTGAAATAAAAAGCATGTATGATTCAAGCAATATAAAGATTAAAATTACGCTCGCGCGATCGATCTCGCTCTTTCTTGAAACATTTTGATCCGCAAAATTACTCGAAGTTACAATCATTTTGGATTAACATTTACTCCAATAAAATCAGTGAAAATTCCTTTAGTCAGTTACTCGTATTTTAAATTTCATTCCTAACTCAACTTTTGATCAGTGGCTGTCGGTATGACTGAGACGTTGCATATAGCTCAGAAATATCAATGCATTTCATGAGTTATAACTTTCTTTGCTTTTCATTTTACTTTAGGTTCGTCAGGTTACAGAACTAGTTCCAATGCATTTATCTTCTCCTTCGTGAATAAAGACAACCTCTCACCCTTTAAATCTCCTGTCTACAGAAACAGTGGAAATGCTTTATACACTAGTTCTAGTTATGGTCCCACATTTGGTGCTGGTCATGATATTTATATTGCAAATAATGCCAATGCAAATACTGGTTCCTACGCAAACCTTGGCCATGCTTATCGACCACCAAGCGGGTATTCCTACACCTCAACCAAGACCAGGAATCTTCTCGCTGGCACTCGGAATTTCACACCCAACGAAGTTGAAACATTTTATTTTAATTAACTTTTGATTAAATTTTCAAGACGTAGAATTTGCATTTATAGAAACACAGTAAGATAGAAAATAACGCAAATGAATGCACTGCATGCACATTAATTTAGTGAAATACATTAGTGAAATTTAATACGAGTACTGCCAAGTGTACGAGTATATACTTTGTATAATTTGAATGAATAATAATCATTGTCTCAGATATAACGTGTTCAGTCTTCACTGATTACTAATATATTTGCTAAACAGCCCGGTTAACCTTGTTTTATATTACGTAATGAGCACCACAGACGAATTTGACAAAGCAAATTCCTTGCTTGCATTCAATCCATCCAAAATGGTGATTGGTTGTAAACCATCTTTTGCTGTTTTCGTCTTATTATTATTTGCATTTGCACGCTGAAATTTTGACCATACATCTTCCACCTTTGGGAATTGCATGGAAAACGAAACATGGACAAATTCCCAAGAGTCAATTAAAATTGAATGTTAAGTTATCTGAAAATGAGCTGAACTCGTCAATCTTCGTCTTAGTGAGACAACACGAAGTCCATTATTGCATTAAACATGGTTCAATTAACCACTAAACAGAGGACATTCGTAGTAATCAAAACGTTTTGCGAAACAAAAACCTTGCAGCAGGCTCGCGTTGCTTTTGGATTAATTAACTTAATAATTGATGTATTTTCAATTCCCAACGGTGGAAGAATGTGATTTTGACCAACAATTTTTATTTGACAAGCATGTGGCCATTTCTTCAGTATCGTTACGGTTTAAGAAAGGTATCATAAAAAAGCTAAATAACAGCTCTTTCGTCCGATGAAAAAATTGAATCGTTTAGCTAAGTTTATTGTGCACGAGAGCAAGTTGAATTCCCATAGCGGTTTTTTTGAGACACCCTGTACATCTAGGGAGTCTTAAAGTCATCCAAATTAACTAATGTATATTGATTACATATAGCAACACAACTGAGCTCTGCAACCAAATTATAATGTATCACTACTTTCATTCTTCAACAAGATGACTTCAAGATTTAAGATGGCAAATAAATAATCGGTTTTAAGAAAAAGTACGTCATTTTCAACAATAACCAGGCTATAAGGTAGACCACATTGATGAAAAATAACTTGAAAGCTTAGAGTGGAGGAAGGAGAGCAGAATTGATATTTCAAGTACTAAACAAAGTAACCGGCGGTAAACCTCGCGGCACCCGCCGGAGCTCCGGCGGCCGCCGGCTTATTTTGAAAGCCTTGCTTGTTTCTGAAAGAAAACAATTCCTTAACAAAATCCTTACTAGAAACTCTTCAAAATTCCTATTTTACTATCAAAAAATACCAATGTATCACTTCTTTTCCACTAAAAACCATTCGCAGATATCTTATATTACTAACAAATTAAATTATAATTTTCAAATTTTCAATTAGTTTTGCTAGTGTAGGTTTTGTTTTAAAATGCACGTGTTTGTTTTTGCGTAATGGACCGCCGGTTTATTACGGGAAAATAATGTACCGCTGAAAGTGCCTCTCCGGCCCATCACAGTCTGCAATTTCTGTCATCACAGTCTGAAAGTGATGCTTGCCATATAATAATAATAACTACTAACATTGTAACATTAAAATTAACTAACAGTAACATTGTGACTGCTACACATAAAAATTTAATACTATATAAACCAAATCGGCTGCATGATCCTAGAAATTCGAGTGCCTCGACCTTGTACCATACTTCTTTTATTATTGCCCACTCACACATTGATACAAACTCAGAAAGTCTGTTGTATAACTATGGAGCGTTTCCCAGTAAGGGACCGGTCATTATTTATGGTGGGGGGTGGCACCGAAGAGAAATGTTTTTCGTGGCAAAAATTTTGCTGACACAACCATTAAAAAGTAAAATATTTGATTACCCAACCTCAAATATCAATTAAAAAAGAAATACCCACCCCTGGTCAAAAACATTACAAAAAGATACCATTCAGTTGTCACACAAGTCCCTCACCACTTCTGTGACATGAGTTTGATAATGGATTGTGAAATTTTCTCCAGTCTAAAGTTTCATGTTGTATTGTTGTCTGCACATGTACTTTCTTTGGAGACACCATTTGTCTCCCAGCAATGATCAATATAGTGACTCTGATTGATTCACATATTGTATTGACATATGACTGTTGACATTGCTTTTTAGTCTCCAATATTTCAGTGAGTCATGCTTGGAAATAACAATAATTTTTTATTACCCAACCCTTGAGTTGTTTAGTTTTTCATTTACCCAACCTTTTACTCACTCAAAATTTTGTTTACCCAACCATTTTCTCTTCGGTGCCACCCCCCCACCATAAATAATGACCAGTCCCTAAAATGAAAATTTGAGTATATCAATTTTGTACGTTTCTTGCATTAGTTAGGCCAGGGTCAAACGTCGAACTTTTCATGCGCCGAACCTATAATGTTAATGAGCTAAGTTCTTTGTTTCACTTCATTTGCATTAGGTTCGGCGCAGGAAAAGTTCGACGTTTGACCCTGGCCTTAGTGACGACTCGTTCGTTCGAGTGTGGGCGTTACCTAAAGATTCTTCTAACAAGATGGTAATATTGATACCATATATATTCATTATCATGTAGTTAAACCCTACACAGTATATCAGGTTAACATAAAGTTGACTCAACATGAATTTCACTAAAATGTATTGAACATAAGCCAGATTTGAACCTCGGCATATTCAGCTTCAGTACAGACTGGCGTTCTGCCAATTGTTCAGCTTTTCATAGTACAACCCCAACACTTAACGCAAAATATACACTTCAACACATAGTAAAAACCTAACACTTCATGTAATGCATGTTAACATAATCAAGACAAATTTGAACAGGCTGCATATTCAGCTAACTAAGCCGCAAGCTCGTACCCAGGGTTCTCTTTCTGCTGGCCTCACTAAGCTGGAGTTGCTATTCCAATCCAATCACCTGTTTTGCAAACAGTCAACTTGATGTGATGTACGTCAATTCGTCAAATCTTGATGATTACACCCACAAACAACAATTATATGCTAAAAGGACTGATATAAACACTTTCCACATTAAAATAGAATGTCTCCAAATGGATATGGGCAAAACTTCCTTCCCGTTTCCAAAAACGTCATCGTTCGTAAAGTTTGCTGGGGTTTGGTTGCAATGCCAATGATCATAATTGCGCAATTTTACACGGAACTTAGTACATGCAGGAAGAAAATACCATGCATAACTTTCAGATACATCAAACTGTAATTATGTTAAAAGTACCGATTTAAGAAAGATATATAGACTAAAATTGTACAATGGCTATGCGACTATAACTATTTACTGATATATATAGTTCATTCATAAACCTTATCCTTATATAACTAAGACACTAAGTATATTTTGTGTTCAATATATAGACCACCGAGTAAGACTTAACTCAGTATTTTTAACTATACCTGAAGATGGATTAATTCTCCGAAACGTCGTTTGTTAGCTAATGTAATAAACACATTTATAAAAAAAAATTCTTACTGTGCCGTGGTCTATAAGCTTCTATATAGGCCTATATATTGAACACAAAATATACTATTAACATGAGGGCTTAGGGAAAGTTCGTTCCTAAACATTTTTAAGACTCTATAAGAGTAATATATATATAAACTGTATCTCAACTTTAAATCTATTTCAGTTAAAACTATCAGTTTACATTAACTGGAAAGAGGGATGCAAAACTGCACAAATGCGTGCATGTTATGTATATCATTATATATATATATATATATATATATATATATATATATATATATATATATATATATATATATATATATATATATATATATATATATATATATATATATATATATGATTTTGGCGTCATGACGACCGACTTTAGGACGTGTTCGTTACCTAAAGATGTTTCTATATTGAATGTTGGATGCATGCAGTTTAGGTAGCGAATGTCGTTATGTGCATGTATACACTAGCTGCATGTAGCTACTATTAATGTTGACTGACTGTTGAAGATTTTGGGTAAACTTTCCATCCAATATTGTGCAACATTGTCGCAACAACATTGTTAATTTAAACGTAGATCGCACCAGCAGCCATCGAAATCTTGCATGCATGAATGTATAGACGACATATAAAATACCATCCAAGATTGTTTTTGTTCAATAGGTAATGGAGTTCTATTCCGACACAGAGTGATATATAGATTGTTGTCTTTTCCAATTTGTACGTATACAGCTATGTATCTGGGGGTCCATTATAATTTTAAAATCAAAGTCGACTAGATGCATGGTTAAGGAACTTGAAGACAAAGATATATAAACGGCCGTGATATCTTCGGCAATCTGTGGATATTTTTCATTTGGAATAATATGATCTTGACTATATGCAATGACAATGTATAAACAAAAGCTTCAGCAGTAGTCATGCAACTGTCGCAAAACTAATCCTATTCGAGTGCTTTGATCTTGTACCATTTTTTCGTGCTCACTCACACATACCCAAAATGTCTATGGTATCACTCTGATGCGTTTCCCAGATAAGATGAAATTTTGAGCACTTTTGTATGTTTCTTGCAGCTATTATCAGTTATAATGACGATTCCTTCGTTCGAGTGTGGGAGTTACCTAAAGATTCTTCTAACAAAATGGGAATACTGATAACATATATTCATTATCATACTGTGTCGTTAACATGAAGTTGACTCAACCTGGATTTGGAACTGTATATTGAAATTCAAGAAGACTGGCGTAATTAATAATTTTAAAATACTCACTAATAATTCATAAACCTTGTGGAAACTGATCATGTCAGCCATAATATGTCACGTGGAGTGACTTTATATCGGATAAAACTCATCTTCATTACAGACATTATTATTCTTCATATAATTTTTCATCCTAATTAGTATGATTATTTATTCTGTTCATCCTGAGTGGTATTCTTTTGTAGTTTAGTAAGCTATTCAAAACACTCGTTGTCGTGTTTTATCAGATATATTTATATCTGATAAAACATTCCTGACTCGTGTTTTAAATAGTTAGCTGGAGTTGTTATTCCAAGTTCCTGTTTTAGACAGCTGTCAGCTATAGCTATTTGGGCATGGACGCCGTACGTTGTCGTTGGTGTTATCCAACGTCTTCTAACATCACTATATTCAATAACAGGAATATTTTTATAGTAATAAAAGGACATTTTTTAAAAAGGAACATATTTAATTATAAAAGGAACATTTTTAATAGTAATTAAGAAAATTTATGAATATATTAAAAATGTTCCTTTTCAGAGTTACCGTTGTTTTGTATTTTTTTACATATAATCTTGACGATGCGGCTGCTCTGCAGTTCAGGCTATTCAATCTGTGGATATTTTCATTCGAGGTGTATAATATCTTGACCATACAATGCATACAAAAGCTTCAGCAGTACGTGGTCATTTCGATGATACCCATATCGCCGATCACGTCCTGGGTCAATCATCCACACCTCCACAGCGCTGCTATATATAGACATTTAAATTCCACTTAGAATATAGAATGGCTCTCAGGAACGCCACATAACCCACATTATCAATGAACTAATTATTCATCCGCGCTTTTCAAAAGCAAATCTTTGTTTTCACCAATCATTATCAGACTGCATTGTTACTCACTGTTGGATGTTGTGTCCACTACATCATCCTGTAGTACCGACCTGAAACGACTTATTCCGGTCAATGTGCTTGAATACAACACTCGAGCTCAATTGAATCAACTGTTTATTTCAAGATCAGATCGAGAGCACAGAGTGAGGATTTCGTACAAAACAGTAAGTCTAAATTATTGTTCAAACTGCATGCATGTTATACAAATATATAATGTAAGTACCAGTATAACTGTTACAATTTACATCGTGAAGAAATCGTGAGTTCGGTTCGTTTTACCTTAAATTTTTAACACTATATATATATACCTAAACTTTTTTATTGTACCCAGTTTTCGCAATAATGTGCTGCAGTTTAATAGTTTTGTCTGCTTCCTTGAATCGAAAGATGGAATTTTATAATTTCAGCAGGCGACTGCCTAACCCAGCTTGATATATGTTAAGAAGCTTTGTAGCTTTGTTAATTTTTCATTATGGTTTATTTTTTCCACAGAAAGATGTTTAATCGCTTTGTATTAACAACCACTCTAATTCTGGCAGGTAAACTTTCAATCAATTATACAGGTTCTATAGTGTTAGAATTTATACAGGTTCTAGTCGGTTTCAAAAAAAAACAAGCCCGGCATACTTCATATCTGCAATGTTCCCAGAAAGAACTCTTCAGCATTACAATAAGTTTATAGTGTCAGTACCCTTTTATATATAAATTGTCAATTGAAATTTGTTGAACTGCTGCTTAAAGTTCTCTGCATTGCATGTATATACCTAACAGCGCTTTATAACAACATGCTATCGCCTATCCTTCAATTGGCTTTTGCATGGTTGCATTAATTATTTTGAAGATTGAAAATTGCCTGGAAAAGGTCTGCTAAAGTTTGACCTAGATGAATTAGGACAGCTTCAAACTCCCTCACACATTTCATGTGCCGATTCAAATATATCTTTAACATTAGATTCGTTGCACTTGATTGACTTGCAACGTGCCTGACCTTCGTCAAAATATTATAGTGGTAGCCGTAATAACATTTTGACTTCTATTGCTTAGGGTTGACGATTGCTGTGACGACAGCACTGCAGACGACACCACAACCGCGATCGTGTCAAAATGATGGAGTGATTGTGGGCCAGGATCGTCACCCAAAATGCCATTGCAGCTCCGGCTTCAAGGGATATGACTGCAGTCTGAGAGGCAAGCGTCTTAAGATACGAGAGTTTAAGTACTATTTAAAGCACGCGTAGGTGTGTTTTATCACATATAAAAACGACTCATCTTATACGAGTTCATTGGCGAAATAATTTTTAAAATAAACTTTGTCTAAATCGAGAAAATCAAAGCTAAAGTTTATGTAAATTAACATGATTTTTATCACATATATAAAACCACGACACGCTTATGATTTTTCTTTGTGTTTTGCCCCTGAATTATCGAGTTTTTTAATGAATGATGTTTGAGTGTTGAGTTATCCGATAGTTTAAATTGGCAGAGGGCAGGTGCCATGTCCCCCCCTGAAACAAAACCAACATTGTCAATTCCATTTAAAGAATGAGCGAATGAGTAAAGAAAAAACCCCTCCCCCCGTCGACCGACAACGATGGACGGATGTAAGTTTTACTTTTGCCGACAAAATAGGCGTGGTTTTGATGTAGTTGGGGCGTGGTCATTGCCGTTATCAACTGACTTTCGTCTTGTCCCTAGTGACTCCTTGTGAAGCAAGTCCTTGTAGAAATGGAGGAACATGTTCAGAAAACAGAGATGGAACATTTACATGTAACTGTACAGCTTTATACAATGGCATCTTGTGTGAACATCCTGGTAAGTAGGCCTAAGAGCCAACCTCGTTCCCAGGGCTTCAGTGTGAGGACGAGGCGAGACACGAGGAAGCCCTGGTCCGGGCCGGTCACGTGACGGCAAAAAATGGCAGTATTTGACAGCTACTCGTCAAGGAGTGGCGAGATATTCTTTAATGAAATATACAA